TTTTCCCTTCTGATCACCCTATTAACATTGAGAATGTAGCTTGGGTTGCATATTTAGCTCTATAAACCATCTGTGGGTTAAAACTCTGCTTAAAAAGCGACACACCGACGAGATAATATGTATATTTTCTATTGCTGGCATGTGTTTTTACTGTTTTTTACTTGGACTACCACTATATAACTAATATAACCAACTGTCTTTTAGTCATGTTGAATAATATATAGTTAAATAATGCCACCTGCACATTTCATTATAAAAACTCATTTGGAATCTATTTCTGACCATTTCTGATGTGTTTTTAGCTGAATCTCATATCTTGACTTAGTGGATTTTGTCACTCAAAAGGCCTTTTTCTTACAAAATCCTGCATCTTACATAATTTTCTCTGCTTAATGAGTGTATTTTGGCAGTAATATGATTTTGCAGTATTATGTTCTATAAATGAAGCTTCTGGACATAAGAGCTGAAACTACTTTTTCTTCCATCTGAAACTGGAAGTGTAAAACTATGCTTTCAAAGTAGTTATGACAAATGCAAAGTTACGTCCAAGTTTAAGTGGGCAATCAGTGAAAATATCCACTGGCGACACGGCTTTTGTGCAGCTGAAAGTATTGAAAATGGAAGCTAATTGCCTAATGGGAGCTCTACTTTCTAATTCCATTCACCTCTAAAAGCTAAACAAAGAGTTGTCAAGTCTGAAGCCACATTTTGAAAACCTGAGACAGAAAACTCACTCCAGCCAAAGAAAAAAGAGACCAGCTAGAAACACAGTCCTCTCACCAGCTATCCTCTGTCTTTGTTCCAGGTCACTAATATGACATATTAGACAGAATTAAGTGGTAACATTACAGCTGCTGTGGGTCAACTTTAGTATGAGAGTGGAGAAACAGACAGAAACAGGTGTTAACTGCAGAAAGACTTACTCTTTGATGTCATAGTTGATATTGATGTTGATATGTTGCAATGCACTCTTCAGCTGGAAAGGACAAAGAAATTGAGCACAGCATTAGTTCAGACAGGCCACGAAAGTCAAGTTCAGCTCACATTGCAGCTACATCAGCTGATCGCAGCTGACCGTAAACACACATCAGCTGATGGCTCAGCTGATTCCCTCCTAAACTTCCAATTGGGAAATTACATACAATCAGCTGATAGCTCAGCTAATACCTGTCAAGCATCCAATTGGCAAAATATCAAAATAGCCGTCTACTCATTTCCAGGGTGTGGATTGATTTATCGACTAATCTAATTCACCATATAGTGCTTTATGGCAAACATCAGGTATCAAGAGCTTAAGATAAAGAAGAAGAAAGCTAGAAGGATGAAAACTGGAATGCAAAAAAAAAACTTTATGAGCATGATGAGTTAAATATGAGCTTTAAACCTTTTATATTTGAAGTTGGGTGTTGTTGGGTGTGGTAAAGGTTTTCAAAAGAAGCCTTAAATTCAACACCCAGTTCATTACTTGAGAGGCCCCTAACATTTCACAGATTATAAATTCAACACAACAAAACCATAGCTGACATGAGTCACTTTCCCTAATGGACATTTCCAAAAAGTGATTATATTTCATGCTTCGCGCTATAATTGGACATCTCAGATTTTCAACCTACCTGAGCCGAATCCAGGGTAAAGGTACATTAATTTTCTATCAAAACATGCTTGATAACACATATAGAAGTATAATTATAACCATCCTTCCATTCATACATGTATCCATCATCCAGCTGCTTATCTAGGTCAAGAAAGTTGTGGCGACAGGAAGCCCACAGAGACTCAATACAGGCTACTTGACCCCTAAAGGCTGTGACTGTGGTTTGAATGTTCAACTCTGCTTTACTAATTAAAAATAGCTGTTGTGGAGCGCCTTGGTAGCTGAACAGCTACTGCGCATGCTGCATAACTACAATGTCTCTGGTTCATTTCCAGCCAGCGACTTGTGTCATGCCCACTTCTCTCTCCTGATTTTCTGCTTCACTCTGTCCGTCCAATAACGCTGAAAAGGCCCCCCAAAATGTTTTTAAAAATAACTGTTGTGGTAATCTTTGTAATGACAGGTGCAGGCCTTTATTGATCAATTAATAATATAAAATAATTTAACATTTTCAAATGTGGATTCAGAGTTATTCTATTAAATGTCATTAAACTATTTCAGTAGAAGTCCATTTTTTTTACAGCATCCTAGTTGTGCATATTTTTAGTGTTGCTAGTCCCAGTGGATCTCAGCTAGAAAACAGATTAAAGTGAGCTGCATTATTTGCGTCTAGGTGGCAAAGTGCTCAT